TGTTTTGACACCTCCTTTGAGAATCTCCTTCTGGGATGATGACACCAGCAAAAATTTTCAATTGACATCAGCATAACATCCATATTGAAGCTTTCAAAATTTTGTTGAGGCTGATTTGTTGGGATTTCAAGAATATTGCTAGAACTTAGAAGTTTTCCTATGAAAGGGGGAAAAATTTTGTACTACCATGATTGGTATATATTGCAAAAAACAAGGCACGTAGCCACTGTAAAATAGCTTATAAGTCTTCCTAACTTCGTAATGCTAATAAGAATCAATAATTAGTTCAATCCACTGAATTATATTCTCAAAGTGATTACATGTATACCACAACATACATTACACGTATAGTACAACATACATTTTAGATTATGCCAGACTCAATCAAAAGTACTAATCAGACAAAAAGCTATTCGTTGTTTAATCACATTATCTATTTTATATGTTTAAATATAAGATGAAACTCGATATCTTCTAAGTTACAATAATAGTTAATTTGATCCCACATCCAGAGATTTCACTTCTTCTAGTTAATGCTCCTACCGATTAAGTTGGATTTCGAGAACTCATCGTATTATTATTTACTAGGGGGAGTGCCGGGCATCGCGCGGGTGTTTGGTGCTTATGGGGAAGGAGATTTTTTTATTGAACAAACAATAGTACATTGTGAGAAAAAATAAAATTTAGTATGAAAAAATAAATGATATAATCAATCAATTCACACAGCATTACAATAAAATTGTATCAAATTGAAGGTCGTTGATAATGCAAAAGGCAGAGCAACACAGAAAACTAATCTTATTCCAGAATTCCCATCGAGAGTTCTTTCTTGCTGTTGTTCCAAACCTATAAGGTTATAACCAACCCAGACCAATTGGGGTTAGGTAACACGAAAAATGCTATCTTGCAACTAGACAACGCGATAAGAGTCGCTAATTTTAGATACTAAGAACACACTGACAAAATTAAGGGAGGAACTGAAAATTGAGGGGGGGTGAAATCTAACCTCACGCTGAATCACCAGGAGTAGCTGAGATTGAAGAGCATTTTGAGCTGATTAGTATGAAACCAGGTAGAATTATCCCAATCCTAAAATGCTAATAGGGAGAAACTGATAATCAATCATTTAGGCTTTAAGATACCAACGGTTTGGCAATTGAATTGGGTATAATTAATGACGAAATAATAGGTAATTTCAAAGTTGAGCTCAAATGAAAGAGAAAACGATGAGGCAAATCGTTATAGACAAAGGCAAAAAGGAAAAACTTAACTCTTGAAACTAAAAGGGGGATAAAATGACCAACGTTTGTGACTCATAAATGCAGATTATAAATGATAGAGAAATGGCTTCCTACCATTGATAGAGAGATCGTTGGCTCATTTTCTAAATCCGATTGACATTCAAATGTTTCAGACAAAGCAACATCTCAAACGGTTATCTGTGACTGAAAAGGGGAATTATTGATAGTTAAGGGATATTCTGGTAATTACACCAACATACAAGCATATATGGGTTGTACAAAATGGAAAAATAATTACACACTAATTACACATTCCATCAATACCCAGATGACTCATCAGTGACAATTTTAAATGTATTAAAATGGGGTCATTTCAGTAAACATATCAAAATACATGCTTCCTTAATTTGTACGTAAAATTTTTAAACTAATATACAATATTTCACATTCCTAGAAAGCCCCCACCTATGCGGTTGAAATTCAACCTATTCATTGACCAAAATTCAATCTTATATAGTATAAAGACTAGGGGAAAAAGCTCGCGCGTCGTGCTGGAGTTTTGTGCCTGTAATTAAAGATGGTTAATAATAATTATTTGGTATTTTGTAGTATAAGAATTGAAGTATGACAAATTTATTATGTGATATTTAATAGAAAAATCATAAGTTACATATTGAGTCAAAATAAGATACGATCAACTACTTTGCGTCTGACGAAGTAAAATAAAAGCCATATTTATATATGCTCACACATTTTAGGGATATTAAAATCTGTTGTTTAGTTTGAATTTGATCAACCACATTATCTTGTCAAATAAGTGAGATTTGAGCAGTTAGCATATTTAAAGAAATTATTGCTAGTGAAATTTCGATTCTTACAAGCCAAATTCTTGAATTTATATTGATTCCAAAGACATCATCACGAGATCTCCACCTTGACCAATTAATTAATTATGATTTAAGATATATAACAAAGCATCTCCTTCTCGATAAATATTACAATCACGAACATCAGTTTTTGACTTAATTGCAAAGATATACAATAATTAACACGCTAATTTAATGGAGCAATTATCTCAAAAAAGTACTAAAACATCTTAATCTACTCAATTCAAGAAAATAATTAAAAGTAATGAAGTACATAATTTAGATTTGCAGCCAATAGTTTTAAGCAGATAGTTAAACATATTGACAAATTAAATGAAGTGAAAAAATTGCCTAAATGGATCGTCTGAAAATTTCCATAACTAATAGTTACAACAACAAAAGAAGTAAATGCAATCTATAAATGGAAAATTTTATAATGATAAACTTATTTTAAACCACAAATAACAATTAACAAATATGATCTCCTTCCTATCAAACTTGTCTAATATGGACAATTGAATTGAAACACTTAAAAATTATCGTACATACAACCTGCAAGATTACAAATTTCTTACAACCAAAAAGTAGATTGACTAAAGAAAACATATCTATTGAGAAAAGGTATTGCAAAATGAGGAAGATGAGTAACTAATATAGCAACATCTGAATTCAATAGGTTGCATAATTGTGGTGGAACAAAACTGTAAGTAGATGAAATGAATTTGAACATAAGAGTTACAATAGTAACGACCAAGAAACCAAACTTCTCTGCTAATTGGCATTAATTGTCAACATGTATATGTCATAAGTTTGTAAATAACTGATGAGAAAAGCTTTAGAAAATTACGAGACCTGGATGTTAATACATTAAAGGATTAGAAGGGTTTTGATATAATTCTATTAAAATGCAAGCTGAACTCAGTTGTACCGAATGTTCAATCGAATATTAAACACTGTCACATGTCAAACTTGCCCTTAATTTAAATGTCTGAAAGGGCATCTAAGTAATTATAACAAAATTAAATTAGTTATAATGAATTGTATTCAATATTTTAATTGCACTTCAAACACTTTTATATTCCCAAAATAGCCTCACCCTTACGGTCAAAATCCAAAAATCATCTTTGTCCTAAACTCATTCTTATATAGTATAAAAACTAGGGGAAAAAACCCGCGCCATGCGCGGGAGTTTAATACCTGTAAGTAAAAATAGTTAATAATTATTATTTAGTATTTTGTAGTATAAGAATTGAAGTATGACAATTTTATTATGTGATATTAAACAAAAAAAATCATAAATTACATATTGAGTCAAAAAATATAATATGCAATAAAATATAATTATAAAATACGATTAATAACTTTGCGTCTAATCTAATAGAATAAAAGATCTACTTATATCTACTCATGCATTTTAGAGATGTTAAATTTTATCGTTTAGTTTGAATTTGATCTTGATATGAGGGCAATCTATCTTATTATCTTGTCATATAAGTGAGATTTGAAAAATTAGTCTACTTGAAGAAATCATTGCTAGTGGAATTTCGGTTCTTGCAAGCCAAATTCTTGGATTTATATTGATTCCAAGGACATATCATCATGAAAATTTCACATTGATAAATCAATCAATTATGATTTATTGTATGATTTAGGACATATAGCAAAACATTTCCTTCTCGATGGGATTACAATCACAAAACATCAGTTTTTGACCTAGTTGCAAAGATATACAATAACTAACATGCTAATCTAGATGAATAATTACCTTAAAGAAGTACTAAAACATCTTAATCCACTTAATTCAAGAAAACAATTAAAAGTAATAAAGTACATACTTTAGATTTGCAGCCAAATAGTTTTAAGTAGATAGTTAAATATATTGGCAAATCAAATGAAGTAAAAAATTGCCTAAATGGAATCATAAAAAATGTAGCAAATGATTTGAAAATTACTGTAACTAATAGTTAAAACAACAAAAGAAGTAGATGCAATCTATTAATGAAAAAATTTATGATGACAAACTTATTCTAAACCACAAATAACAATTAACAAATGTGATCTCCTCCCTATCAAGCCTATCTAACATGGGCAATTGAATTAAAACACTAAAAAAAGTATTGCATATATAACTTGCAAGATTACAAATTTCTTACAACAAAAAAAGTAGATTAGTTAAAGAAAACAAACCTATTGAGAAAGATGTTGTAAAATGGGAAAGAGTAGTAGCTAATATAGCAACATCTGAATTCAATAGACTACATGATTGTAGTGGAACAAAGTTTATAGGTAAATGAAATGAATTTGAATAGATGAGAGTTACTATGGTAACGGCCAAGAAACCAAACTTCTCTACTAATCAGCATTAATTGTGTCTTAACATTTATATATCATAAGTTTGCAAATAACTGTTGAGAAAGGTTTTAAGAAATTAAGAGATTTAGATGTTAATACAATTAAATGATTAAAAGAATTTTTATGTAATGTCACTAAAATACAAGTTGAATTCAATTGTACTGAATATTTAATTGGATATCGAATACTGTCACATGTTAAACTTATCCATAGTTTTAAATGTCTGAGGACATTTAAGTAATTATAAAAAAACCAAATCAGTTATAATGATTCATATTAAATACTTCAATTACACTTCAAATACTCTCATATTTTCAAAATAGTCTCATTCTTACTATTGAAATTTTTACCCTAAATTCATTCTTATACAATATAAGGATACCAGTCAAATTTGTCTTTACAGAAGGGGGGAAAAAAAAAAAAGCGAACCTTTTTTCAGAACCCCCAAAAAAAAAAAACTTCAACTTGGGCTTACTAGGGAACTTGTCCAAAAGGACCAATACTCTGATTAACAACAAAATCAAGTTACCCACCCGCCGCATCGTTGACCCGACCGCAAAACTCACCCGTCATCGCTCTTCCGAGTCATCACTCCCATCTTCCTCACACACAGACAGACAGACACACACACATGGCTTTGCTGGGAGACGACGGCAGAGGCTACGAGCTAGCTCGGAAGCTGGAGAGCCACGGCGTATGGCGCACGTGGCTCGGCGAATCCCTCCACTCCAGCTTCGTTCACTTCCTCGCTTCTCCTTCGGCTTGGGAAGCCTTCATGCGAGCTGACTATCCCGCCGACTCCTCAACCTCCTCCTCGTCCTCCGCCACCGCCGCCGTCGATTCGCTTAAAACTAGGGCGCTGCTACACCTCCAGCTCCGAGCACGAGCTCTCCTTTTCGATAAAGCCTCAATTTCTCTCTTCCTCCGATCTCCTAATAATAATCCTCAGTTATTATCACCTTCATCGTCCTCGAATGCAATCTCGAAACTGAGTCCAAATTGTACGGGAAAATTACTGAGTTTAGAATTATTTTAAGGAATTGAGTATTCTAGTTATGTTTTGACTAATTTTATTTTCTGTTCTCAGATTTGCAGTTGCACGGTGATGATGTGTATTTCACTTTGGAGGAAGCTGCTCAACGGTCGGATAGTGTTCTTGCTTCTTCTACAAATGCGACGGCATCAAAGGTTTCATTTTGCTAAATAAACTCTCTTCCTTTTCAGAATTTCGGTTTTGTTTTCTTTATTTTCTTTTTCTCAATTGTTGGTTGATTTTTGAAGTCAAAGTGATGAAATTAGGAATATGATTGAGCGTTTTTCCAGTCAATAGATTTCCATATGTAAGATTATGGGATGATATTGCTAGATAAGTTGAATTTCTCATGAATTCTTGGATAATAGGTGTCAAATGATGAGGATGTATGATCACATTTGCCAGAGGTGTTTGAGTTATAAATTTTGTTAACGTAAAATGAAAATGGTTGAGTTGTTTTTGTTATTTTTTGTTGAGAAGAGAATAAAATTGCTTCTAAAATCTGAAGCATCTAATTTTTTTTCGGAGATGTCATTGCCTAACTGAATGGAAGCTGAAAGCAAAGCTTGAATTAGCTTTTTAGCCACTGTTTGCTCAGAATGGCTCGTCAGGAAAAAAGAGCTTTTATCATGTCTCTTGAAGACTCATGTCTGAGTATCAATTTATAAATGCCAACCTTAGAGCTTTAGCGTTATCAAAAATGCTTTTTAGTTGGAAGGGTTAGATGATATTCTAATTTTAAACTTAATTGGGTGATTATAGTTGTAATTTCTTGGAAATAGAATGGTCGGAATTTAGTCAAAACTCTCTCTCTCACAAACAAGAAGGTTATGCACTGACATCTGCGATAAACATTAGAAGTTTTTTCGCTTTTTTTGTTCTTTCTTTCTTTTCCTCTTTATGTTCTCATTAATTTGTTGGTTATTTCCTGATGTGAAAAATTTGTTCTGGTTAGAGCATCTTTTTTTTCTTGGTCAAATCATCAATGATGAAGTACCAAGAGGCCTTCCCCGCCCCCGCCACGCCCTGGGGATTTTTGTTCATTTTGTATGCACTCCTTTCTACCAAGTTTGGCTGACAATTCGTTCATATTTTGTTGCACCAATACTTTAACTCAGCTGAAATTTATTTCCAGAGCTTATGAAGTTTAGTAATTAGGTCTGCTTGCTAAACTTCTCATCGCATTCTATCTGGTAGTAGGAGATTCTATCATTCCTGTACTATGTGTATTAGAGTTGTGCTTTCCTTCGTAGGTTATATTCTTTTCTTTTCGTGCACTACCACAAAAAGAAGTTTTTCTTGTTCATGCTTGACTTGACATCATGCATTGGTCTTTTTAATTTAATTTTCTTCTCCATTTCTACTACTTCACCAACTTATTTACTCTTTTCTCTTTTCAGAGCAAATCATCTTTTGGTGTTGGATCGAGACACACTGAATCAGAAATTGGTTCTTTGCCCCAAAGGTTCAAGTTCGATGAATTACCTGAAACATGGTATGCTCAGTTTTTTGAGAAGTATAGAGCAAGTAAATCATACAGACTATCCTTCGGAGATCAGGAAACAGAAAAAAGGACTCCTGAACATATGTATAATTATCTTAGGGTTGCGGAAAATCACAAGAGAAAGAGAGTTGCTTTCAAGGTAGATCAGAACATTGGTGTTGGCAATTCCATGTTAGACAGCGGGTCAAACATGCTGTTAACCTCAATAGTGGAGGACAACAATGCACTTGATGATGAAGCACCGTTTTTCCCTGAAACTATGTTTAGTATGAATTGTGTTCCAGATAGTGCTGTCTTGCAGAAACATAGAGTTTCACTGAACGTAAAAGTGGAGTTCAATGGGATTCTAGACACCTTACCTCAGATCGTTACCAAGAGTCCTATCATGATTGAAAGGCTAGGTATCAGACCAGAATACCTAAGTATGGATCCGAAAGGAAATCAAAATCGTGGAAGGATTGGTTATGATGGGCGTGGGAAACTTCTGGGTCAGGAGCAAGCATCACAGCTATCACAGAAAGTGATAGCTCGTTTCCTATCTAAAGTTGGTTTTGAAGGTTCCTCAGAAATGCCACTGGAAGTTTTGTCTCAGTTATTAAGCAGTCGTGTATGCAAATTAGGTTGTACATTAAAGCTACTTGCTGATAGCTACAGAAAGCAATGCTCAGTCATGGAGTTGTTAAAGATGTTCCTTCACACAACTGGATATAGGTGAACATCAATCCTTGTCACATCAGATTGTACAAAGTCTTATATTGTCAATTTCATAATTGTTAATGTAAATGGTTTCTTGATTATACCTGAATGCTGATGATGCTCAATTATGCGTACTGAATTATGCATCACATTCTAATTTTTGCAAGAAATATAAGATCTCCCTGAAGCATGGTAATCCAGAATCTGATAGTGTAAACTTTCAGGGGAACAAACTTTTGGTAGCCAATTTACACATAGATTTCTATAGCTTGCAAATATTGATGCCATGCTAGCAACCATATAAAGAATGAGCGGTGAACTTAATGAGTAATCTGCTTGATACGGTAATTATTTTTGTTGACAACATTTTTTCTTTTCAAGTTTATTTCTAATGCATTCCCCCATGTTGCCTCAACAGTAATCTTGTGGTACTGTCTGAGCTTGTGAAGGATGCTACCAGGAATCCTGTACCGCAAACTCAGCAACAAGTACAGGGATTTCAGTTGCAATTGCAATCACAGAACCAAGGACCCATCCGGCCATCGCAGCAGGTGTATAGAATATGACACCATGTTTTAGTGTTACAATTAACTTTCTGGGAGATCAGAGGACTGTCCATGGTGAAATTTTCATGCAAGTTGTCTTGCTACAGTTTTCAAACCATCTTTAAACTCTAAAAGGCAGTAGTAATAAGAAATTGGCCAGTAAGTTGTAGTTGGCTTAGGTGTATTTGTCGTCCCTGACATTTATTCCAAGGCAATTTATGACTATGCACATGTAGGAGAACTGTCATTTGTGGAAAAAAGGCGTACGTCTGCCCTTTTTTGGCTCATCTTTTACATTTTTTTTTTATTTTGTGCTCCTTATTTGGTCTAATAGTAAAGGAATTTGGCTGAATAAATTAGTCTGCCAAGTTTTACTGTTAGCCTCCTTGTAAACGTAGTAACATATTCTTCCTACTAACAGATTCCAAGGCAAATGCTTCCTCAGCTTCAACAGATGATTAATTCCCAGAATCTGGCTTTTCAGCAGCATCAACAATGGGAGAGAATGAGAAGACGACAGCAGTCAACACCTCGTCCTGGTATGAACATGAATATAAATATGGACAAGGATAGGCCTATGGTGGAAGTCAAGGTTGAAAATCCATCTGATTTCCCAATGGACAATAATACCTTTGCCACAATCAATTCCCGGCATTCCCAGCTGCAGCCGTTTCGTCAGCAACAAATCGCTGCTATGACATCTTTCCAAACTAGCAATCAGTTCAGGCCCATGTCTTCGCCTCAAATTCCTCAAATGCAGTCCCCGTAAGGAACTTTGATTGTTGAATACTAGCTAGGATGTGACAATATCTCTACTAACATGTGCTTCCTTTTTAGGAACATGGGGATGGCTAGGGCTCCTCCTGTAAAGGTTGAAGGCTTTCAAGAATTGATGGGTGGGGATGCTACACTTAAACATGATTCGGAAGAAAACAAACTAACATCACCGGCCAAATAGTATAGCTTTGAGTTTAATACCTTCCGGCATAGAAGGTACTATTTTAGAAGTGTTCTTGCTCGTCAAGTTCCAATGTGCAAATTCTACTTAAATCTAATGTGTTACACAATGACAATTTCTGAAAAAATTTTGAAAATGAAATTGTTATGCTAACTTTATTGATTCTCTCATGTTGGTAATAGATGCCTATGTCCATTAAATACTGCAAAAAATTTACTAGCGTTATTTATTATTTTCTTTCTTTTTGTTTGTGTAATTAATCTCAGCTTTCCTCCATTAGTGGTAGGATACATATGAAGCATATTGAAAAACATAATAAGTGTTCTAGAGGAATGTCCTTTCAATACGTGGCCCACTTGACTTTTGATTCATGGCAGAGAATGTATCACCCGGAAAGAATCTATTATTTGTTTTCCATGTTTTCACTTTTGAAAAAGTATATGTAGTGTTGTGTGGAGTCTGCTGCTATTCGTCGTTTGTGTACTCATGTGCTTGCTTCATTTGTTTTTGTCTTACTGTACTTGGTTCTCGAAATGCTAATGGGAAGATATTGTGAAAAGATATACCTTGAAGTAGGGGTGCAAACGAATCGAGACTCGCGAGCGACTTGATTCAAGCTCGACTCGAGCTCGAGCTGGTCGAGCCAGAGTCGAGCTCGAGCTCAAAACATTAAGCTCGTTAGTTCGCGAACTCGAATATATATATATATATATATTTTTTATTTTTAATAGTAAAATTACATAAATATCCTTAATATTTTATTAAGAAAAAATATTATTTTATTTATTTTTTTGAAAATAAAATAATTATTTTTTATTTTTTTTGAGCTCGAACTCGGCTCGAATCGAGTCGAGCTCGAGCTCGAGTTTGAAAATTACCAGCTCGTCGAGCTCGAGCTAAAGTTCGAGTTCGATGAAATTAAGTCAAGATTCGACTCGATAAGGCCAAAGCTCAACTCGGTTCAGCTCGTTTGCAGCCCTTGAAGTGACCTCTAAATTAATTCTCAGATTGTTTTCGAATCAACCATTGGGTGATAGCTTCTGCATTTATCAAAAGAGGTGTGTGACAGCTTCTGTTGCCATATAGGCACATTGTATTATATAAGCCAAAGCTTTAAACTCGTATTGAGTTGTGGGTTATACTCTCGGGGTGCAATCAGGCTCCATGAGCAGGATTTGGTGTGCCCAAGCTCAGCTCAAAAAATAAATGGGGCTTTTGGGCTCAGGCCTAGGTCAGAAAGCTCAAGCTTGGGCTCAGATCATATAATATGAGCTTTGGGTTCAAGTTCATAATTAATTACATAATTATATATAATATATTAATGTTTATAAATTATTATAAATTTGTATATAAATTATTAATATTTTAATGTTATAATATGTATATTTATAAATTGTATATATTATTCAATATGCAATTAATATATATATTTATATATATATAAAATTATAATTATACATATGAATGGGCTGGGCCTCAATCGGGCTTGAGGCTAATGAGATTCAAGTTTGGCTCACATATAATTTGGGCCTATTATGACCAAGCTCTTCCCAGCCCGATCAAACACAAGGCTCATTGGGCTTTTGCAGGCTAAATGGGCCGGGCTTGGGCTAACCGGGCCCTGTTGACAGCCCTTTACACGGCAATATGAGAGGCATTGTTTTAACTGATTATGGGTTTCTTAGTGATGTTTACTTGCTTAACACTTGACCCTTCTGTTTTCAATATAATCTCAAATTTATTTTGGAAATTGGCAACCTTTACCCTATGTTAGGGAAAAACAGCATTGGATCAGGAATGCCAGGATAATATATAATATACATAGCAATACATTTACGACCAACCCGAGGTACAATGACAATCTTGAGCTGTACACTTGCGATGCTGACAATCAACTGTGCACTTGGACTAATGCCTGTTACGTTTGTCTTTTGGGATAGCCTGTAACATTTTGTGATAAGTAGCTTGCAATTACTTATTGATATTGACATTTTAATGTTTTGCTCTTAGGATAGATGAATTTATAAAGGAAAAATATTTAGAAGATCCAGAACCACCTCTGCAATGTGGAGTAGAGAATCTGTGACTCTGGTGCATGTCAAGATCAGATCTCGGATTGTGTTGATTATCCTCCATAAACTCAAGAAACTTGTTGACTTGAGTATCATGTGGCTCTTTGTTTCCAACTACACTCATTTCTTTTGCTTTGTTTCTGAATATCTGTCCCTTGTCTTCAACAGTGATCAACCTAACTGTCTGGCCCACCGAGTTTCTTGTGTGTGACCCATTTTATACTCACTTCTGCACAATTCTATTCCCAGCTGCTTGGTCAGGCCTCCTCCTGTAAAGATCAAAGGATTCCAAGAATTGATGGGTAGGGATACCGCACTGAAGCCTGATTTCAAGGAAAATGAGTTAACTTTGCATGCCTCATAGGATAATTCAGTTAAATACCTTCTCGTATAGATGTAAAGGTACCATTCTTTGATAAGTTTTCCCACTCTTTTAGTTCTATAGCATAATCCTACATAAATATTAGTGTTTGTTGTAGAATGCCAATTTTGTAAAAAGATTTTACAGATGAAATTATTGTGCTAATACTTATTGATTCTGGGTGTGGGCTGTTGTGCCATGAAGATATTCGTCTTTTGTTTCCTATTGGTATAGTGTTTTTTTAGTTGCTACTTCAAAGTTCTAATAATTAATATCTAGAAAAAATTAGTATTTTCTTAGTTGCTATTTAAAAGTTAAAGTAATCATACACTAAATTAAAGTGATATACTTGCGATTGTTAATATTAGGAAAGTAAGAGTTAGATCACCGTAGGACATTTTTACAAAAAAGAAATTAAGGGGAATTCGTTATTTGATGTTTAAAAGTTATACCAGACACTAATTTTATATTAATAGGCGGCATGCTAATATAAAGAAACGAAGAGTTGAATTACTACATGGCACTTTCATAAAGAAAAATTAAAAAGAAAAAGAATTAACTAGTGATAAACATATTGTGGGAGGGGCGCAAGTTGATCAAATTTGTTGTGAAAAACTTCAAGTTGATCAAATTTGTTGTAAAAAACTTACAGTCGGAATTAGTTCTTGGGTTTGTGTTGAGTATCCTCCAAAAGCTGGCTAATTCCTTAGATTATAGGTAAAAAAAAAAAATAATCCGCCAAGTGTACCTCTGACATGGGTGTTTCTTAATATATACGTGCCGTGCTGACTCAGCACGACCGCATAATAAATTTGATTTTTTTTTTTTTGGAAAAAGTAAGCACGGTCAAAAAGCCAATGCTTGCTTGAGGCTGTGCCCAGTCAGCACGGCTGCAGAAGACAGTTAAAAAAAAAAAAAAAGGTGTCAGGCGCCTGCTTTCTGCCCGTGACAAAGGCCGACAACGCCATGTGAAAATTAGCCATAACGAGGAAAAAAAAGCTTCGGATATGAAAACAGAATTTTGACACATAATACCATAATGAGGAAACTGTACAAGAAAACAGAGCAAATAAGGGAAAAATAAATCAGCAAAGTAAAGAAAAAAGAGAAAGGAGGCTCAGATTTGCCTTTAATCAGACAGAAAATGGCTCAAGCCCGCCATGGCTGCAAAAATCACTAGTAGTACTTGTGATTCTTGCCCAGCCAAGATACGGGCTTAGCTCAAAAATCTAACTAGGGGCAAGAAAGAACCCTCCATTCTAGGGGCAAGAACCCTCCACAAAACTCCCTACCTCCCCCACAATTACACTGCCTCATTCTAGGGGTCCTCCTTCTACCGACGCCTCTCGATCTGAAAAAGCTGATAAAGCATGTAGAGACCAAGGCTAGTTTGTGAGTTTAGGATAGAAAGGAAAAGAAAGAAAACTCTAATGAGGATTGAGGTGAGAAGCGAGCTTGTTGAATATGGATTCTCAACAAAAAAAAAAAAAAAAAGAATGGAACTTAGTTAAGGCTCAGATCCGTCATATCAGTAAGGCAATGAGGAAGTAAACCGCCATCACTGCAAAAATCGGTTGCATGTCGGAGAGAACCCATACCAGATTCTCCTACTTCTGCCATCCGAGTTGCCCAACCAAGATACGGGCCACTTTGTCTCAGTGCCAAAATTTCATTTGCTCAGAGAAATTATCATCATGGTCTCAAATTCAGTCCTCCGTGATCTTTCTTTCTTTCCTTTTTTTTTTTTTGGGAGTGTTTGGAAGAGCATGAATATTGTGGATTGATGATGAGGAACCAGAAACAGACCTCGCACTTCAATTCGTCCATGGATCCATGGCTAGAAAACATCTTCAGTTTCTGCAGCTGAAAGGTTGTTGGCTTTGTGGAGACTCGGGGGCAAAAAACAGAAGAAAGTCACTGGCTCAGGAGAGGGGCAAACCCCCTTAAGAAAATCCCATATCTTTCTACAACCTCATTTCTTTGCTCCGAGTCTGAGGACAAGTTCTGAGGACATGCTGACTGGGCAGTCTGCTCCTAGTCAGCACGTCCGCACCTGACTTACAGGACCGTGGCAGTCTGCTTCTGTCAGTCGTGGACGTGCCCAATCAGCACGTCCGCGACTGACACCTGCTGCCACCCGACATTTTTACAGACGTCTGCAGTGAAAAACTGTGCTGTCGTGCTGAGTTAGCACGGCAGCTATAGAATGAGAAACATTCCATGTCAGAGGTGCATTTGGCGGTTGTTTTTTTTTAATGTAAATATTCTAAGAAATTAGCCCCAAAAGCTCAAGAAATTTGTTTATGTAAGCATCATGTAGTTCTTTGTTTCCTGCTACTCCGCTCATTTCTTTTGCCTTGTCTCTGATTATCTTTCCCTCTTCTTTAACCATGATCGATCTAATTGTCTGGGCCACTGAGTTTCTCGAGTATGACCCATCCTGTCCACTTCTTGCCACTTCTATCCCCAACTGCTTGTCCTATAGAACCCTAGCATTTAACCCTTGATCCAGCAGAAAGGGTAACATAATAAGTGGATGACCAAATGCGAGTCCCTCTATAGTTGAACCCCAACCGCAGTGAGTCAAGAACCCGCCAATGGATTCATGACTCAGTAGCTTCAACTGTGGCACCCAACCTTTCCATACCATTCCCCTTACCTGAACTCTCTCTTTGAACTTATCAGGCAACTGAACTGATTCAGATTCACTGAAGCCGGGTGGCTTCCTCAGAACCCAAAAGAAAGGCACCCCTGATAGCTCAAGAGCCAGCTCGCTGATATCTGTTTGACTGGGTGGCACCTCGCTCCCTAATGCTACATAAAGTACAGAGGCTCTGTTTTGACCATTGAGCCATTCTTTGATTGGAAACCAAGCTTCATCATTCATCTCATCATCAATTTTGTTGTCAATTCGGGAATGGGGTGGCACTAATCCCAGAGGCATCACTGGAGTGGGATGTATCTCATTTAGCAGCTTCAAGCAGTGTCTTACAATAACAGCGTCTGAATCCCTGGTCATCATTCCAACTCGGTATGCATCCGAGACACCTGAAACGTTGGGATTAACAATTCGCAGAACGGAATTAGTTTCATGGATCTTGTAAACCACTTTTGTTTGAAAAGCTACCCACTTCGGCGGGACCATGAAGTCTTCAGCCTTGCTTCTTGGATCTGTGCCATTAATCAACATGTCTGATGGTCCAAGAAAGCCCAAACACTAGGTGAAGAGGTGATTTTCGGCCCGCAAGAGCGAGTCACCTCGAATGGAGGAGTATCTTTACCTTGGGCAACTCTCTTGGACGAAGTCACCTGCTTGGATAAGAAAAGGGGCTAGATCCCCCGGTATAACTTCGAAACTTAAGTTAGTTCGGATATAGAGAAGTAGGAAAGCAATGAGTGGAGATAGTGTTCTACCAGAAATTGGTCATCCCTCTCCTTCGGAGAGACGTTGGGTATTTATAGAGATTCACCTGGAGAGAGGGAGACTACTTGCACAGGTTCCCAGGGATTTGACATGATGGAGTATCAAGTTGATTTGACCAGTCTTTGTGACAGGATGTGGCCGGATCTTCACCAGGTTCGAACGGCATGTCAGGGTGTCAGTCCGCCGGTTGTCAGGTGTCAGACGTCATCTTCTACCCTCTGCAGGCATTATTAATCAGCCGCCACCTCGGCGACCGACCTGAAGGTCTAAGACGAGGTGGCAGTAGAGTATTGACCGCCTGGGTGAATAATGTGCCGAGGTGGTCCTTCAGGATGTACCATCGGATGAGGTCTCGGGAGATCCGAGCCGAAATGACCATCCTCACTAAGCCCCCCAAGCTTCGAGGAAATCGAGGTCGTGGTCTCCCGAAGTCGTTACTTCCCGAAGCTGATAAGCGTGTAAGACACGAGATGCAGTAATCATGACTGCGCGGATGGGACTACTGAGGGATCGACGCGATGGCTGCCAGTCTGAGCGGCAGGTGCATGAACAGGGGCGAAATCGGAGGCAGACGAACAGCCTTTTCATTAATGAGGAGAGAGAGAGAACGCGCCTCTTCACTGTTCCCCTGGGTGCCTATAAATAGGTCCCCTTTTTACCGTTTCATTCTTTACCAAAAATCGTGAATCACCTCAGAGCTCTGTTTCTTCATCTTTTCACTTCGGCAATCCTTCTAAACCACATCTTCTTCGGCACTCCTTTCGAATCACATCTTCTAAGTAAGTTCACTTCTTCCTCTTCTGACAATGGCTAGAACAGCTCGTACGCATAAAGAGACAGTAAGGCCTGACCTCACCCAAGAAAGGACCGCGTCTGAGGGCGGAGGCACGGAGGCGTCTCACCGAGCTGAGGAAGGAAGTGCCGAGGCATCACGCCGAGTTGAGGCGGCTGAGGTGCAGCCCGAAGAGATTGAGGTCGAGCCCGATGTCCTATACAATAATGACCTCGGGACTGAGATCCCTAGATACGAGGGAGTACAAGAACCTTCCACTCCTCTGAACGTAGCAACTCTCAACTACGGCCAGATGCCGTTCTTCACTAGTGGTATGGGACACGCCTCAATAGCCGAGGTGGTCCGCAGGTATCCCTGGAGAAGGGATTACAGCATTTATATACCCCAGCCTCATCAGTCAGCTGCACTGCCACCAAAGGGCAGAGTGGCTATCTACCAGGAACAGCTGAAGGCCGGGCTCAGAGTGCCCACGACGAGATTTCTTCGGGATTGCCTGAGGTACTGGGGGGTGAGAATCACTCAACGCACCCCTAACGCCATCCGCATTCTCGTCGGCTTCCAGCTACTCTGCCGACATCAGGAGATAGAACCTTCGGTCAACCTCTTTCGCCGCTGTTACTCACTCAAGAACAGCGGGAGTGAAAAAGGATGGTTCTACTTCGGAAACAAAGTTCCGAAATTGGTGGTTGATGCTCCGAGCTCAATAAAAGAGTGGAAGCAAAACTTCTTCTTCGTCTCGGCTGATGACTTCCATCGCGGATTCTGGTGGAGGCCTCCCACCTCGATCAAAGAGACATCTTCAGGGAAGTTAGAAGAGCGTAACTTCCAGAAGTTAACGGGGTCGGGCCTCAGGATAAACTGCTGGGATTTCCCCGAAGTGGTGCTCGTGGAAGGCGGGATTAGTCGAGCCTTGACGAGCTCTGATCAGCCCGTCTTACTCTCGACTAGGCTTCACAGACCTTGTATTTTTCCATTTCTTCCCTTTTTGTTTATCTTTCTTGAATTCTAACTAACTCTTCTTCATGCTTTGCAGTGACGAAGATTTCCGACCTGATAATCTCGGGAGATGTCGAGGTGGTCAAGAGAGCTCCCAAAAAGCGCAAGGACGCCGCTAAGCCCTCTACCAGGCCGGCTAAGAAAACCGCCACGGCAAGAGACTACCGCGAGCCTGCCGTGATGATCGTGGGCGAGGACTCGCACACCTCGGCCACTCCAGGAGGTTCCCGAGCCTCGACGATTCCTGTGGGAATTCCTTCTCGCGAGGTCACAATTGCCACTCCCCCCCGAGGTCAGGGTGTGACTGTGTTCCCAGAGAACCCCGTCACGAGGTCATCTTTGTTCAACCTCCACCACGTGCCCCACAAAGCAGCCGAGGAGGATAAGAGGCACCCCGGATCACATTGGTGTCCGGAGTGGGATATTAACGTCAACGATCGTTGCAAGAATCCTCTGGTGGCTCAGGAGCTTTTGGTGCACTCGGTGCTGCCTCGAGACAGTACTTATGCCAGAAAGCTCTCCGCAAGGGAGCTGATGCAGAGCGCCTCGGTGTCGTGGGCTTCCACCACGGCCTTTTTTGCCGAGATGATCCAACGGTATGGAAAGTTCATGAAAAATTATGAGCCTCCTGCCGAGCTCAAGAAGAAGATCGCCGATCTGGAAAAGAAGCTAGAGGCCATCGAGCTGGAACGAGACGAAGCCGACGCGGTCAGGGAGAAGGCCGAGGTCGCAAACAGCTCCCTCGTAACTGCTCTTGACGAGGAGAGAAGGAGGAGAGTTGAAGAAGAACAGTCGACCAAGGAGGCCATCAACGAAGCCGGGGTCACTGCCGTGGAGGCCTTCCGGAAGTCGGAGTCATTTATTCGTGACCTCGGCGAGCTCACCCGGCCGAGGTTCATGTTCGAGTATACCTCAGCCATTAACAAGGTGGCGTCCTTTCTTTCTTCTGAGCAGCTGCAGTCCCTTCAAAGTGCTTAACACTACAACGAGGACGCCAAGGAACTGTGCGACCGCATGGCTGAGGGTATCCAATGTGGGAGAGACCTAGCCGAGGTGCGTGTTGAGTTCAACAAATAGCTCCAAAAGTTCGATCTAGATGGTGACAGCGCTGGAGAGGACCAGGCCGGCGGAGGAGGTGAAGGACAGCAAAAAATCGAGGCAGGGGGCGAGACTATTGGAAAGCAGGACGCCGGGGCAGGAGGTGCTTAGAAGCACTTATTTTTGTAATAGAGGGCCGAGGTCATGGATAGCCTCGGTATTTTACTTTTGTCAATGGGGCCGAGGTCATTTACAACCTCGGCCTTTACTTCAATAAAGTTGACTTTTTATCCTTGCACATTTGTGCCTTCTTTTCGATCGAGTTCAGTTTTCTTTTGACTACTGCTTTGTCCCCTTATTTGTCACTTGTAATGAAATAAGAATGAGTGAGAAATAACTTAAAGAAGTGAAATTTAAGAACACGTACCTTTCAAGGGTGATACAACTTAAGGTTTTCAGCGTGCCAAGTTCGGGGCACCCGAGAACCATCTCGGTAAGCTAGTTTACAATATCCATTTTTGCTGGACTCAACAACACGGTAGAGTCCCTCCCTTTTGGGGTTAAGTTTCCCCTGGGGTTCAGCTCGGCTAATCGAGTTCTTCCGGAGTACCAGGTCTCCCGGACTGAATCTTAGGTGTCTGACTCGAGCATTATAATAACCAGTTAGGATATTTTTATAAATAGCAACTTTGGCCGCGGCCATATCGCGTTTCTCTTCGGCGAGGTCGAGATCAACTCGTCGCTCCTCTTCGTTGACCTCGGCAGCATACGCGGCCATTCGCGGGTTGGGAGTGATGAACTCGGCTGGGACGACAGCCTCGGATCCATAAGTTAGAGAGAACGGAGTTTCTTGAGTTGCTGATCTCGGCGTCGTTCGGTAGGACCACAGCACGCTAGGAAGCTCTTCCATCCAGGACGATCCAGTCCGGTGAAGCCTGGTTTTGAGACCATGAAGGAGAGTTCGATTAAAGTTCTCAACCTGTCCATTTGCCTGAGGGTGTCCAACCGAAGTGAAATGTTGCTTAATCCCCAAGTTTTCACACCACTCCTTGAAAGGATTATCTGCGAACTGCCTGCCATTATCCGAGATTACCACCCGGGGCAAGCCGAAGCGACAAATCACGTTTTTTCAAAAGAATTTCTGCACGGCAGCCCCGGTAATGCTTCTCAGGGGCTCAGCTTCAACCCACTTGGTGAAATAGTCCACGGCCACCACCACGTAGGCATAGTTGCCTGGAGCCCTGGAGAATTGACCAATTATGTCAGTTCCCCATTGCTCGAATGGCCATGGCGAGGTGATGGGGATCATAAGGTTGGTCGGCTGGTGGTGCTCAAGGGCGTGATGCTGGCAGGAGGAGCAACTAAGGACCATGACCTGGACATCTACTCTCATGGTTGGCCAGAAGTATCCCAGCAACAGGGTTTTCTTAACGAGCATCCTGTAGCCGACATGAGCACCACAGAGTCCCTCATGTATGTCTTGGAGGATTCTCCAGCCTTCCTCCGGCGTGATACATCGTAGCCAGGGGCCGAGGTAAGACCTCTTGTATAAGAGGTCTTGTAGGAGGGCGTACCGAGCTGCTTTTCGTTGAAGCTTCCGTGATTCAGCTCGATCGTCTGGGAGCTCACCCCGGCTGAGAAATCGAACCAAAGGCCCCATCCAAGTGTCCCCGGGATAAATGGGATATACAACCTCTCCTTCGTAACCCGACTCGACTAGGACTTCTACGAGAACCGTCTTGTTCAGGTCGCCAAAAGAAGTAGAAGCGAGTCGGGAGAGAGCATCAGCCCTCCGGTTCTGTGACCGCGGTATCCTTTGAATTTCGAAAGACTCAAAGTGCGCCACCAGCTGGAGGACCTTAGAGAGGTAACGATGCATCACCTCATCCCTGGCCTCGTATTCACCCAATATCTGGTTCACGATGAGTTGGAAGTCACTATAGACCAAGATGTGTGCGGCCCCGAGTTTTCGAGCTAGTTGTAAGCCGGCTATGACAGTTTCGTATTCGGCTTCATTGTTGGAGGTAGCGAAGTCGAACCTCAGGGCGTACGAGCACACATCTCCCTGGGGGTCTTCGAGGAGCAAGCCTGCTCCACTACCCTCACTGTTGGACGATCCATCCACGTGTAGAATCCATTACTGGAGCCCTGCGATGGCCACTTCAGCTGTGACCGGGATGGTAGTTGGGATGGGTTCTTTCACCTCATCAAAGGTGAGCTCGGCTAAAAAGTCCGCGAGAGCCTGGGCCTTAATTGCCGTGCGAGATTCATAAGAGAGGTCATATTCCCCCAGCTCAATGGCCCATTTGGTAAGACGTCCCGATGCTTCAGGTCGTGTCAAGATCTGCCGGAGTGGTTGATCAGTCCTCAAACAGATGTGGTAAGCTAGGAAATAGGGCTTGAGTCTGCGGGCTGCATGGATCAGGGTCAGCACAAGTTTCTCCGCTTGTGTGTATCTTGTCTCGGGACCTCGGAGAACTCGACTAACGTAGTAGACGGGCATTTGGACTCCTTCCTCCCTTATCAGCACGGCACTCACGGCTTCGACCGCAGCAGAGAGGTATAAGATCAACTTGTCCCCTGGACGAGGTGAGGTGAGCGTGGGAAGGTAGTGAAGGTAGTCCTTCAGCTGCTCAAACGCCTGTTGACACTCTTCAGTCGAGGAGAAGTGGTCAGCTTTCTTCAAGACTTTAAAAAATGGCAGGGCCTTGGAAGCTGACTGCGATAGGAACCGGTTCAGGGCGGCCAATCGCCCCGTCAACCTCTGGACATCGCGGATGCACTGAGGTGGAGACATCTCCTGGATGGCTCGCACCTTATCCGGGTTCGCTTCTATGCCTCGTCTTGAGACGAGGTAACCCAAAAATTTTTCCGAGGTGATCCCAAAGACGCATTTCTTGGGGTTCAGCATCATTCGCGTCTTCCGGAGAATATCAAGGACCTCTTTCAGGTCGGCCAGAAAAGCAGAGGTCGTCTGGCTTTTGAGGAGGATGTCATCCACATAGGCCTCAACGTTCCGGCCGATCTGAGACTTGAATGCTTGGTTGACCAAGCGTTGGTAAGTGGCTCCGGCATGCTTCAGCCCGAATGGCATGGTAGTGTAACAGTACGTGCCGCGGTCAGTGTAGAAGGCCGTCTTCTCCTGGTCTTCTTGGCTCACACCAATTTGGTGATAACCTTTGAACGCATCCAGGAAACAGAGGATCTCGTATCCCATTGCCGAGTCTACCAAGATATTAACCTTGGACAATGGGTAACAGTTCTTGGGGCAGGTCTTGTTGAGATCGGTGAAGTCGACGCACATTCTCCAAACCCCCGTATCCTTCTTGACCATGACCGGGTTGGACACCCAAGTTGGGTATTGGACTTCCCGGATTATTTTAGTGGGTAAGAGCTTGTCCACTTCCTCACCGACAGCTCGGCTGCGCTCAGGGCCGAGGTGCCTTCTCTTCTGTTTGACCGAACGGACTTGGGGGTCGACGTTCAACTTGTGCATCATGAGGTGGTGCGGGACTCCTTGGACTTCTTCGGCGGCCCAAGTAAAGACGTCCCGATATTCTCTGAGGAGGTCCACCATACCTCTTCGGACAGGACCGGGCAATCGGGTACCAATGCGAACTGTCTGATCAGGCTTCGTGGGGTCCACGGGAAACTCTTCCACCTCATCCCTAGTCTCCAGCCTCGGGACCTTCTCAACTCGCTGAGAGTCGATACTATCTATTGAGAGGATATTTGACCTCTTCTCGGGCCTCGTTCCGGAGATTGAGGGGGAGACCGCTTGTAGAGTGGCGAGGTAACACTCCCGGGCAGCGCAGACGTCGCTACTGATTTCGGCCACCCCTGCGGGGGTAGGAAACTTAAAGCTTAGGTGGTAGGTAGAGTACACCACCCGCAGAGCATTAAGAGTGGGTCGACCCAAGAGCAGGTTATATGGGGAGTCAGCCTTAACCACCACGAAATTCACCGGGATAGTTCGGCAGCGGGGGTGGTGCCCCACGGTCACCGTCAGGGTTACCATTCCCTCGGGGTGCACAACGTGCCCCTCGAACCCTACAAGAGGGGTTCTCACCGGGGTCATGTGCTCCCTGGCCAGTTTAAGACTTTCAAAGGTGCGAAGGTACATGACGTCAACTGAACTTCTCGGATCTATGTAGACCTTTTTCACAATGTAGTTGTTGGTGAGGACTTCAATCACCAAAACTTCATGACTGCTGGAGGCAGCTGGGACGGGATCACTGGGTCCATAGGTGATCATCTCAGACAGGCGAGAACTCGACTCGACCTGATCCGGATTGGCCTGCCTATAGGTCCTCTTTCTGGAGTTCTGACTATCCCCTCCCGTCGGACCTCCGGCAATGGTGTTAATGACTCCAGCGATATTCGGCCCATATCCCAACCCATGTCCTGCAGATCCGTCTGGGGGAGGCCTTTTCGTCTTTCTGGGATCCTCAGGGGGTCGGCAACTGCTTCTGGTGGTCCGCCGCTCATCTCGGCGCTGGTCACCTCGTTTGTCACGCCGGTTTTCGTCGCGTTGGTGGCCTCCTCCTCGGCGGATGAACTGTTTCAAGTGCCCCCATCTAATGAGGTTCTCGATCTCCTTCTTGAGATCGTTGCAATCCTCAGTTTCGTGACCAATGTCACGGTGATACAAGCAGTAGAGGTTCGAGTTCCTCTTGTCTCGGCTTCCAAACATCCTCGGTGGGGCCTTCCCGAGGTTGTTTTGTTCCATTACGGACAACACCTGAGATCGGATAGTATTCAAAGGAGTCAACTCGGACTCGGGAATGGGTGACTTCCCCTTGGATATCCTGTCGAACACGCTGCGGCGGTCTTGGCCAGGACTTCGGAAGCCACTTCCCGACCCCACTTCAGTTTGGCCAGCGTCTTTTCCCTTTCTGGGATCAGCCCTTGGGCGAGTGGTTTGGACCTCTTTCTTCATGCGGTGGAGGTCTTCGGCCTGTATGCCCTTTTCGACATTCAACCACAATTCATGCAATGTGCGGGGATACTTCTTATGGATCCCCGTATTGAACTCTCCGACAACGAGTCCATGGGTAAAGGCAGCGAGGGTTACCTGCTCATTGGGGTCAGGTATCTGAACGCTTTTCTCATGGAACCTCCGGACATACGACCGGAGTGACTCTCCCGGGTTCTGCTGCACGGTGAGCAAGTAAGCCGAGGTCCTGGTCGTAAGTCGGGAGGAGACGAACCGGTGGAGAAACTTCTTCACTAACTCACCCAGGGTCGAGATGCTTCTAGGTTCTAGGGCCCAGAACTATTTTTGAGCTGTTCCCCGGAGGAATACTGGAAAGGCCCGGCATATAACAGGGTCTGGAATGCAGTATAGGCGGAAGGTCGAGATGAAGGCATGGATGTGATCTTCGGGATCACCTCGGCCGTCGTAAGATTGTACTGCAGGGAGCTTAAAGTTAGGAGGGAGCCTTTCCTCGTTTATGTCATCTGTGAATGGTGGAGCCCTCATGCAGTCCACCCCAGGTATTCCCAAGGGCCGAGGCTCTTCCTCGGGTCGTCTCCCCAAGAGCCCTCGAGAAAATGCCTTGGTCAAGGAGGCTACCTTAGAGGTGGCCTTAGAAAATGCTCGCTTTGAGGCACTTCGGCTTAAGCGCCTCCCATCAGATTCTTCCTCAGACGAGTCCTCAGGAGACCCATCCGACTTCCTCTTAGAAGACTCGGCCTTTTGCTTGCCTTGTCTTTTTAGGCATCTTCCCAACTCCTCAAAGATGTTGGGGTTCTCTGTTACGAACTCGGCCATACGAGTTATGGCTTCTTCGTTCGCGGGCTGAGTCCTTGGGAACTCATGCCCTCCAGAGATATCTTCATGTTGAGCTGCATTGCTTTGCTCAGCCTCTATAGTGAGAGCTTTTCTGCTCCTAGAACGCGCAGGCTTCATTTTCTAATGTCTTTGCTTTCCCACAGACGACGCCAATTGAAGAGGTGATTTTCGGCCTGCAGGAGCGAGTCACCTCGAATGGAGGAGTATCTTTACCTTGGGCAACTCTCTTGGACGAAGTCACCTGTTTGGATAAGAAAAGGGGCTAGATCCCCCGGTATAACTCCGAAACTTAAGTTAGTTCGGATATAGAGAAGTAGGAAAGCAATGAGTGGAGATAGTGTTCTACCAGAAATTGGTCATCTCTCTCCTTCGGAGAGATGTTGGGTATTTATAGAGAATCACCTGGAGAGAGGGAGACTACCTGCACAGGTCCCCAGGGATTTGACATGATGGAGTATCAAGTTGATTTGACCAGTCTTTGTGACAGGATGTGGCAGGATCTTCACCAGGTTCGGACGGCATGTCAGGGTGTCAGTTCGCCGGTTGTCAGGTGTCAGACGTCATCTTCTACCCTCTGCAGGCATTATTAATCAGCCGCCACCTCGGCGACCGACTTGAAGGTCTAAGACGAGGTGGCAGTAGAGTATTGACCGCCTGGGTGAATAATGTGCCGAGGTGGTCCTTCAGGATGTACCACCGGATGAGGTCTCGGGAGATCCGAGCCGAAATGACCATCCTCACCAGGCGCTGATAATACAAAAGAAGGATTTCAAAATTCCTAGCTTAGCTGAAACTGGTCCAGTCAGGAAGTGAATTCTCCAAGAATTGAGTCAGTTCAGGTTCAAGCCCATCATAGGCTTTCTTTAATAGAGACATTTGATCTGTGTGGATGTCCATGGTGGCCTCAGCATTTTTTGGTAGTCCTTCAACTTGGGGCAGTGGTATTTTAACAAAGGTGATGGAAGAAACAAGATGTGGAGGGATTTTTGGGAGGCGTGCGATGTTTCTAGGGGTGGATATGAAGGTGACTCTGTGACCCCTTTGAGCAATGAATTTAGAGAGTTCTAAAAATGGGATGAAATGCCCAAAGGCCAGCCAAGGCAACATCACTACTAAGTGCAACTTGGACTCGTTGGCCATGGACAAATTCAGGGCTTTAGGAAGACAGATTTCAACTTGGGGTATTGTTTAAGTTCCTTTTCCTCAAAGAGTTCTATGGTATTACATAGTTGTAGACAGCATGAATCACGCCTCACTGTTTGATGACATCTTAGCACAATAATTTGTTGACATTTATTAGATGTTGGTGGTCGATTATTGGGTATGTATTACATTTACTGACACTAGAAAGATCTGAAGTTGGTGGTCGATGTTGACATATATTAACAATTTCTTTTCTTGTTTTCTTCCGCTAGATTGTCAGCAATTGTTTATTGAGAATCTTTTCATGACACTAGAAAGATCTGAAGTTGTCTGATGGAAAAATCAGTGTGTTCCGCGGTAAGTTGTTCTTGTATCTTATTCCCCGGGATTTAATGGGCGTTTGCTTTCGTGATTCATTTAGCCAAAGGAATGATTCAAATGAACAAATTTGAAGGCGACCTGTTTATCTTTTATTTAATATTTTTTTTTCTTTTAATACTTGCACTGGACAGCTGCTGCATGGAGCAGCAGATTATGTGGAGTCGTTAATGTGTTGTTGAAAGTTGAATATCAAAAACCCCTTCAGTTTTAAGGCAGCAATACATTATAGTGATTCAGTCAACATAATTAATTGAAGTTATATGCTTGTAGATCAAGAATGCAACCAGAAAAATTAAATTGCACAATGGATACTAGTGCACTGATTATTGTACAATAATACTAGTGCCAAATTTTACAAGATAGTACTAATTCTTCTCATGTGGATTTGCGCACGTTCTTTTCCAAGTAATCTACAAACCTCTGTAAGTAGCCGTCGTGCAGCTCTCGATCTCCAAATACTGCGCTAATTTCTTTTGCTTTGCCCCTGTAGGATTTTCCTTCATCTTCTTCCATGATCAACCTCACCGATTTGGCCACTGAGTCTCTCGTGTACGATCCATCTACCGGATTTCTTGGTATTTCTATGCCCACCTGTTTTTCCTCCAGAATCCGAGCAACCAACCCTGTATCGATGACGAACGGCAGCATGATGAGTGGATGACCAAGCATGAGTCCTTCTATACTCGAACTCCACCCGCAGTGAGTCAGGAACCCACCCACTGAGTCATGACTCAGTATGTTAAGCTGAGGTGCCCAATTCTTCCAAACAATACCCCTTCCCTCGACTCTATCCTCGAACCCCTCTGGCAGCCCAGATGGATTCCTTAGAGCCCAGAAAAACGGCACCCCGGATAACTCCAGCCCGAGGGCTAACTCACCGAGTTCCAGTTGACTCATGGACACCTCGCTCCCAAATGCCACATAAACCACCGAGCCTTTACCTTGACCATCCAACCATTTCTTGATTGCAATCCATGACTCGTTGCTTTCAAGGCCGCTTTTTTCCACCTTGGGTGGCATCAATCCCAGCGGCATCACAGGCCGTTGTTGCAAATTTTCAAGCAAATTTAACCACTGGCCTTCAAACTCGCGGCAATGTCTCACTAAAACGACGTCTGCACCCTTTATAACCGATCCAATCCGATACATATCCGATGCACCCGAGCCATCTAGATTACTAGCTCCCACAATCCATTTACTCTCGTACAGCTTATAAGCCACTTTACTCTCAAATGGGATCCACTTCGGCGGAACTATATAATCCTCCACCTTACTTCTGGGATCAGTACCGTTGATCATTGCATGAAAAGATGGTCCAAAGAATACCACAGTTGAGGCGCTAACAATACTGAAGAACGATCTCGCTATATTAAGCTTAGCCGCAATGGGAGGTAACCAGTATGGAGCAAAGTCGTAAATAATCCAGTCCGGAGCTGAGTCTTCCAAGAAACGAGTCAAATCGGGCTCGAAGCCATCATAGGCTTTCTTGAGAAAGGCAACATCAAGACCGCCGAGGTCTACCGTGGCCTCCACATTTTCTGGTAGCCCATCAACTGGGGGAAGTGGGATTTTTATGAAAGTAATAGAAGATGCTAAATTCGGTGGGAGTTTAGGGAGGCGATCGATGTTTTTGGGGGTGGAAATGAAGCTAACTTTGTGACCCTTTTGAGCTATGAACTTGGAGAGCTCTAGAAAAGGGATGAAATGGCCGAAGGCTAACCATGGGAACATGACAACATGTAAGCTGCCGGATTTGTTTGCCATGAAATATTGTCGGAACTTTAGAACTCTATTATGGTTTTTTCCTCCTTGCCTGCAGAGTGCACAACTTGCTGAAATATAGAAGCTGGGTGGTACGATGGGTGGACCAACCGACCAATTGATTCGATTTACTGCCTTTCCAGCATCACATGTTGTTAAGGGAAAATGAGTGATGTACAAGTCACTGTGTTAGAATAGATGTTAAAGGCAAAAAATTTGTGAAGATGTTAAGAGTAGAGATTCGATGAACCAGCTGTTGAGCCGGGCGGGAGGAACCGGCTACATGTTAAGGGAAAAATTTTGTGAAGATACTAGAATAGACATTTGAATTTAGAACCTCATGCAAGAAAGTAGACTACAGTTGCCCCCAGAATAGCCACCCATTTGTTGATGATTTTATCCTTCTTATATTATATGTTAGACTTTTATTCTTATTTTATCTCTTGAAAACAAATTCTATTTGGAATCTTTTAATAACATTTTATTATTCCTCAAGCTCTATAAGTTATGAAATTAACTTAAAAAATAATATGTTACACAATTCATTTTAAAGATAAATATCATTCTTAATAAACTTTTGCACTTAAAATTCACAAATAAACTAAATAATTACATTTAGATAAAATTTTATACTTGAAATTTGGTATATTACTAATTAAATTTAGGTTGTTAATTCTTATAAGAATTAATGATTCTATAATAAATTAGACTAATCGAGCATTTATTATGGCATAATTTATAATTTCAACCATATAAAAAATTATGAGACATAATATTTAAATATATTTAGTGACCCACCGGTTGAACCACTCACCCATTAATTGAACCAGTAACCCGTGGACCCAAAATTTTTTTTTTTGAAAGGTTCATCCCCGATAGGTTTAATAACTATGCATTGTTGATCTTTTTGGGAAGTTGAAAATTTAGCAAAATTGTTCTCTCTAGCTTTTTTATGTGTAATAAAAATTCACTTCTTGTAATATATTATAAAATAATTCTTTCTTACTAGGTAACTAGCATTTGCTAAAATTTTTTTTTGGGTAAGACTAGGATTTACTATATTTGGCTATAACGCTTCCTAGAATAGCTATAGATCGATTTTCTTTTCTATTTAACAATGAGTGATGCATCTATCTTCAAATAACGTCTATTTTTTGAGTTTATTTTAATGCGAATTAGATCAGATCGTATCTTTCTTGCATGATCTTGAGCAAATGATTGCATGGCAGTTGGCCCACCAACTGCAGGGATTTCGGATTCTAATTACTATATATATCAATGTTTTTAAACCCGAACTGAAGTGTGAACCGAAAAATCTTCTGGTTCACAGTTCGACCCAGATTCAAATATTTAATAATTTTTTATTCATTTTAGTATTAAGAATTTTGAATAAAACTAAAATATTTATTTATAAAATAAAAACTTAATAAAAATCGATTGAACCTCTCTATTTTTACCGATTCAATCGGTTCTTGACTAATTTTGATTAGTTCAATTAATTCTTTGATTTTTCAATTGAATCGGATTAGAGATATGGCTAGTTTGCAGTTCAATATGTCGAACCGGTCTGATTTTCAAAACATTGATATATATAGTATTATGTCAATATTAAGTTGATGACTGTAAAAGTCGAATCTATCGGAAAAATAAAAAGATTAACATTTGCTTCAAATGTTCTTGAATTATTAGCAAATGTAAAAAACTCCTCCATCAACCATATACCTGGTTGCATTTTACCTTCTGAGTTACTTTTATAAGTACTTTGTCCCCTTTCACATTATATTTGGACAAATCTATATCTTTTATCTTAAGCATCATTATTTTTCTTTTTT